GGCTGTTTGGGCTGTGACAATGAGGATTATTTGTGTTATTTCTGTCTAGATGAAGGACAGGTGCACGCGTTTGGTTCAGACTACTATGGCTGTTTGGGCTGTGACAATGAGGATTATTTGTATTATTTCTGTCTAGATGAAGGACAGGTGCACGCGTTTGGTTCAGACTACTATGGCTGTTTGGGCTGTGACAATGAGGAGGGTGACGAGGTACTTGTCCCTATACTGGTAGACTACTTTAACACCCGACCTGTGGCCGAGGTCTCCTGTGGACAGTGTCATGTTATTGCGCTCACCCGGGACAGAGATGTCTACTCCTGGGGCTGTGGGGAGTTTGGTATGTATGTTGACATATTTCAAGTGTAAAAGACAAATGCTTTTTTGGCTCCCAATCAGAATATTTCCCTGAAACTATTGTGTTTTCAGTTTTGATTGTCAGGATTGAAACCAGTTTAGATTTTATGGTTAAATTTTAAAGTTCAGCCAGTTTTGTTATGGTTTTAGATATTTTTCTCTCTTGGAGATTATAGAGCCCATGCTTGAATAAACATAACAATATCAACAAAGAATATATTAGAACTGCTTTTACATCTTTAGCAGAAATATTAGTGTATGCAGGTATGTGCTGTATGTTTGCTTAGCAAACTACAGGTATGTGAAACTGTGACAAACAGACTGGATGTTCAAATTTCAGTAATTAATTCATAAAAATTTGAATTACTAGTTGCCATGTTGCATGGTTTGATTGAAGAATTAATGTGTGTTCACTAATACAATGGTATATTGATTATTGTTTAATGATCCACTTCAAGGTCGCCTTGGTCTCGGATCAGAAGATGATTTTGCGTCGCCACAAAAGGTAACTCAAATTTCACTGCTGAGTATTGTTGCAGTGTCTTTTGTCAGCATGTAATTGACAAACACATCCTTTCTAACCAGTAAATACATTGTTTTATCCCTGATGCACAGCTTGGTAGTAAACGTTCGGAATAAAAGTAAATGAAAATAAAGGAACTCATAAAAATCTTTGACAAGTCATGCACATATAAGCACCAGTCAAACTCATGATCAGGGTACAGGGAAATCATTGCCAGCCCCTGGACTAAATTAATGTGTTTGTCATATTGTACATGTAGTAACAACTAAGAGTGTGTATATTACTTATAACAGGTGGAGACACCGGGGAAACACTTCATCAAACATGTGTACGCTGGTAGTGACAGCACCTTCCTCGTCACAACCAGTGGACGCGTCCTTGCGTGTGGCAGTAACGAGTACAACAAACTGGGTCTCAACTCAGAAACATCTGGTCTACGCAAACAGAAACCAAAGGTAACGTACACACAGTAACTGTATCGCTCTACAGAAACCACAGGTAACTTACACACAGTAACTGTATCACTCTACAGAAACCGAAGGTAACTTACACACAGTAACTGTATCACTCTACAGAAACCAAAAGTAACTTACACACAGTAACTGTATCGCTCTACAGAAACCAAAAGTAACTTACACACAGTAACTGTATCAATTTACAGAAACCAAAGGTAACTTACACACAGTAACTGTATCACTCTACAGAAACCAAAGGTAACTAACACACAGTAACTGTATCACTCTACAGAAACCACATATATTATAACTTACACACAGTAACTGTATCGCTCTATAGAAACCACAGGTAACTCACATAGTAACTGTATCCCTCTACAGAAACCACAGCTGTTATAACTTACACACAATAACTGTATGCTCTACAGAACCCACATATATTATAACTTACACACAGGAACTGTATCGCTCTATAGAAACCACAGGTAACTCACACACAGTTGTGGGATCGCACATCGTTACACGATGTGCGGTGTGCGCACGATGTGTGCACGGTGTGTGAACTTTGTGTGCACAATGGGCGGACGATAAAAAGCTTGACGATCATTGCTTGCGCACATCTGTGCGCACGATGGACGGACGTTGCTCGATAATAATCGTGGTTGGTTTAAATTGAGGAATGCCTTAACAATTTATACGGTTTCGTGTTTTAACATACAAACTTGATGTTTACGTATGTTTCTATATTCTAGCAACATCTATAAACTTATCTTTCTGTCTATACATTCTTATATTTAGAAATTGTGTTTTCTGTGATTTTAAACAAACTTAATCGACACATGTAAAATGACAACACAATCCTGTATACAGGTGAACATAATATAACCACTTTTTACATTGTACATGTACCTGGACCGTAGTTTTCTCCCCGCCTGGGGCACTAACGTAACTCGTCGGGTAAGGCCAGGGGTGTGAAAATCCAGGTGAAGGGGAGCTATATAGGCAAACGAATGCAAATAACAAATACTATTCATCACGGTCAAACGGTATCGCATATCAGCTCTGTGTGTCGGGCACTCACGGTCAGGTAAAACTGCGGACACTCATAAAATTGCTATTTACCTGTTCTGTTACCTTGGAGCCAAACCCATTCTTGACAGCCTAACGGTCGCTGTAATACTGTGTAACACGCATTGTGAAATTGTATCATCTTGATTGTTGTGATGAGAAATTACAGATATACACACAGTGTACATTATCGTATACAAGCCTTCCGATTTTTGTCATTCCGTATTTTTGATCTACAAATTATACCAAATCGCACAGTTGTGCGGAGAGAAGCGCACAACGGGGCGAACGATTGCTAAATCGCACAGTTGTGCGCACCATGTGTGGACAATGTGCGGACGGTGTGTGAACAATGAATGCACGGTGTGCGCACACTATTTTTGGTGTGTTGTGCAGTCCCACAACTGTAGTAAATGTATCACTCTACAGAAACCACAGATGTTATAACTTACACATAGTAACTGTATCTCTCTACAGAAACCACAGGTAACTCACATAGTAAATGTATCACTCTACAGAAACCACAGATGTTATAACTTACACAAAGTAACTATATCGCTCTACAGAAACCACAGGTAACTCACATTGTAACTGTATCACTCTACAGAAACCACAGATGCTATAACTTACACATAGCAACTGTATCTCTCTACAGAACCCACAGGTAACTCACATAGTAACTGTATCACTCTACAGAAACCACAGATGTTATAACTTACACATAGCAACTGTATCTCTCTACAGAAACCACAGGTAACTCACATAGTAACTGTATCACTCTACAGAAACCAAAGGTAAATTACACACACTAACTGTATCGCTCTACAGAAACCACAGATATGATCTTATAACTTATCTATATTATAACTTATCTCTCTGTAAATACACCAATGTTTTGTTACCTGTGTTTCAGATCTATGACATTTACCTGTGTTACAGATCTGTGACATTCCCTGTGAATACACCAATGTTTTGTTACCTGTGTTTCTGATCTATGACATTTACCTGTGTTTCAGATTTGTGACATTTACCTGTGTTTCAGATTTGTGACATTTACCTGTGTTTCAGATCTATGACATTCCCTGTGTTTCAGATCTATGACATTTACCTGTGTTTCAGATCTATGACATTTACCTGTGTTTCAGATCTATGACATTACCTGTGTTTCAGATATATGACATTTACCTGTGTTTCAGATATATAACATTTTTACCTGTGTTTCAGATCTATGACATTTACCTGTGTTTTAGATCTATGACATTTACCTGTGTTTCAGATATATGACATTCCCTTTGTTTCAGATCTATGACATTTCCCTGTGTTTCAGGTCTATGATATTTTTACCTGTGTTTCAGATCTATGACATTTACCTGTGTTATAGATCTATGACATATACCTGTGTTTCAGATCTATGACATTCCCTGTGTTTCAGATCGATGACATTACCTGTGTTTCAGATCTATGACATTACCTGTGTTTCAGATCTATGATATTCCCCGTGTTTCAGATCTATGACATTTACCTGTGTTTCAGATCTATGACATTCCCTGTGTTTCAGATCTATGACATTACCTTTGTTTCAGATCTATGACATTTCCTGTGTTTCAGATCTATGATATTCCCTGTGTTTCAGATCTATGACATTTACCTGTGTTTCAGATCTATGATGTTTACCTGTGTTTCAGATCTATGACATTCCCTGTAAATACACATTCAGCACGGTGAAGCCCCTGCTGAGGTTTAACATTGTAACGGTATCGGCTGGCCACACCCACTCAGCAGCCATTGACTGTAAGTACCTTCTCTAACACTTTCTACATATATAGTTTTATTTTAGATGTTGTTAGAAGATGTTGGATTTGTTTAAGTAAATGATTAGCTGGTTGGTTAATGGATCAAAACATTATTCATTTTGTTGTGAAATATGACCATTTTATGTATTGTTTTTCAGTGTATGGTAAATTGTACACATTTGGGTCCAACAAGTATGGCCAACTAGGTGTGGGGGACTTTAAGAAGAAGTCCTGGATCTGTCGTGTGAGCGGAGTCCTGACGGGGAAAAGGGTGATTAACGTAACCTGTGGTACTTACTTCACCGTGGCAGCCACTAGTGGTATGTGTCACATGACAACTTTATCACATGACATCCTTGTCAAATGAAACTTCTGATTAAACATGTGGCTACAGAATGTTTGATAAAATACATTCATGTCTCTGTCATTTCCTCTGTAACAAGCTTTGATTGTAATTGAAAAAAAAAAAAAAATTATCAGAGAAATATGGAAACTTTGTTTTAATTTGAAGTAATAGCCTTATCTCTTTTTGTAAAAGGGTGAATTATGTGGATAATTCACAAAGCCAAAATTAATCTGGAAGATTTCTTTGTTTTAGCCAAATGACATGGAAGTCCAGTTACTCGCATTTCTCTTCCTATATAAAACTCTACAGACATGACACATATTAACTTCACAAAGATAACATACACCATATTGTTTTATAATTTGTTGACATGGTCCACCTACCATTTTCCTTACAGACAGTCAGGTGTATTCCTGGGGTAACGGTGCTAACGGGACATTAGGGGCGGAGTTCCTGGACCAGGGGAAGGGCCCTAACAGCCAGTCGATCTCCCTCCCTCGTACCCTCTTTGGGTCACTCCACCTGGTGTCCCACCTGTCAGCTCGGCACTGGCACACCATTGCTATCGCAGGTAGGTTTACATTTGTGGTGTGCTGTGGAGAAAGTGAATACATCTGCTTGAGAGAAAAGGAATATTTTTTAGGAAGAATATGATTCCTCCCATGCATGTTATGACACTTGCAAGCTTCATTCTTGACCTGCAATACTGAATGATGTAAGTTGATGAACTTGTTAAAATAATATTGTTAAAATAAATAAAGCTAAAAGTTATGTGAAGTTCTTTACAGCTGTTTGTGTTTTTATACGACCATCAAATTTGACGGTAGTATTATGGTATGGCGTTGTCCGTCCAGCCGTCCGGCGTAAACTTTGTTTGTCCGGCAATCTCCTCCTCCATTTTTCGACCGATCTCTTTGAAACTTGGTATACATGATAATCATGATATGAAGTTGTGTCTCCCTTAAAAGAATTTTGAATCGACATTTTTTCCAAAAGTTATTGCCCTTTGTTCATTTCAGTATTTGAATTTTGACCGGAGATCTCCTCATACATTTTTTAACCGATCTCTTTGAAACCTGGTTTACATGATATGAAGTTGTGTCACCCTTAAAAGAATTTTGATTCGACAATTTTTCCAAAAGTTATTGCCCTTTGTTCATTTCAGTATTTGATTTTTGTCCGGCAATCTCCTCCTACATTTTTCGACCGATCTCTTTGAGACTTAGATTACATTATAATCATGATATGAAGTTATGTCTCCCTTAAAAGAATTTTGATTCGACAATTTTTCCAAAAGTTATTGCCCTTTGTTCATTTCAGTATTTGAATTCTGTCCAGAGATCTCCTCATACATTTTTCAACGGATCTCTTTGAAACTTGGTATACTTTATATTCATGATATGAAGTTGTGTCACCCTTAAAAGAATTTTGATTAAACAATTTTTGCAAAAATTATTGCCTTTTGTTCATTTCAGTATTTGATTTTTTGTCTGAAGATTTTCTCCTACATTTTTTATAGCATATCAGCTAACCACTCTTAGAATGATGTAGATCTTATTTCAATGTAAGAAAGTATATAACACTATATGGGTAAAACTCTTGGGAATTATTTCAAAACACTTTTGTCTTAAAAAAACCCAAAAAACAGCTTGGATACAACAACAGAACAATTGATCAATAAAAAAGTGGTTTTCAGGACATTCTGTATGTCCCACACTGTGAGTCGCTATCAAAGGCTCAGTGAGATCTGAAATTTCAGTGCAGGAATCATTCTTTCTCTATAAGTCATCTAAGGTTGTTATAAGTAACAGAGTTTGTTTTTGTTTCAGAAAAAGTTCTAAATCAAAAGACTTTGAAGTCAAGAATTTCATCTCCAAAATGTAAGTACTGTACATGTACACTCTACAAACCTGTGTTTTCCCCTTATCTCATTAGATAGTCCCTTATTTCTATTTCTAATGCAACACATTAATCAGTATGACAGTGACTGTCTGGAAGTTGTAGTGCTCCAGGCTTTGTTTCTGAGGTAGGAGGGATTCAATGTAACAGACTTTTGATATTGGTTGCCAATTGTATCATTAATAAACTTTTAAGGCAAAAAAAAAAGGAAAATTGTTTTTGGTTTTGACAAGTTGATGCCACCATTGTTAAGTATTTGGTATTGTTTTAGAGTTGTTTGGTGTATTTGGGAGGGGAGAGTTTCCTCAATGTTTTAGAGTTGTTTGGTGTATTTGGGAGGGGAGAGTTTCCTCAATGTTTTAGAGTTGTTTGGTGTATTTGGGAGGGGAGAGTTTCCTCAATGTTTTAGAGTTGTTNTTAGTATTGTTTTGGGGTTGTTCATTGTTTAATATTGTTTTCGGGTTGTTAATTGTTCAGTATTGTTTGATGGTTGTTCATTGTTTAGTATTATTTTCGGGTTGTTTATTGTTTAGTATTGTTTGATGGTTGTTCATTGTTCAATATTGTTTGAGGGTTGTTCATTTTTCAATATTGTTTGATGGTTGTTCATTGTTTAGTATTGTTTGAAGGTTGTTCATTGTTTAGTATTGTTTTGGGGTTGTTCATTGTTTAACATTGTTTTCGGGTTGTTAATTGTTCAGTATTGTTTGATGGTTGTTCATTGTTTAGTATTGTTTGAAGATTGTTCATTGTTTAGTATTGTTTGATGGTTGTTCATTGTTTAATATTGTTTTGGGGTTGTTCATTGTTCAATATTGTTTTTGGTTTGTTAATTGTTTAATATTGTTTTGGGGTTGTTCATTGTTCAATATTGTTTTGGGGTTGTTCATTGTTTGGTATTGTTTTTGGGTTGTTCATTGTTTAGTATTGTTTTCGGGTTGTTTATTGTTTAGTATTGTTTGATGGTTGTTCATTGTTCAATATTGTTTGAGGGTTGTTCATTTTTCAATATTGTTTGATGGTTGTTCATTGTTTAGTATTGTTTGAAGGTTGTTCATTGTTTAGTATTGTTTTGGGGTTGTTCATTGTTTAACATTGTTTTCGGGTTGTTAATTGTTCAGTATTGTTTGATGGTTGTTCATTGTTTAGTATTGTTTGAAGATTGTTCATTGTTTAGTATTGTTTGATGGTTGTTCATTGTTTAATATTGTTTTGGGGTTGTTCATTGTTCAATATTGTTTTTGGTTTGTTAATTGTTTAATATTGTTTTGGGGTTGTTCATTGTTCAATATTGTTTTGGGGTTGTTCATTGTTTGGTATTGTTTTTGGGTTGTTCATTGTTTAGTATTGTTTTCGGGTTGTTTATTGTTTAGTATTGTTTGATGGTTGTTCATTGTTCAATATTGTTTGAGGGTTGTTCATTTTTCAATATTGTTTGATGGTTGTTCATTGTTTAGTATTGTTTGAAGGTTGTTCATTGTTTAGTATTGTTTTGGGGTTGTTCATTGTTTAACATTGTTTTCGGGTTGTTAATTGTTCAGTATTGTTTGATGGTTGTTCATTGTTTAGTATTGTTTGAAGATTGTTCATTGTTTAGTATTGTTTGATGGTTGTTCATTGTTTAATATTGTTTTGGGGTTGTTCATTGTTCAATATTGTTTTTGGTTTGTTAATTGTTTAATATTGTTTTGGGGTTGTTCATTGTTCAATATTGTTTTGGGGTTGTTCATTGTTTGGTATTGTTTTTGGGTTGTTCATTGTTTAGTATTGTTTTCGGGTTGTTTATTGTTTAGTATTGTTTGATGGTTGTTCATTGTTCAATATTGTTTGAGGGTTGTTCATTTTTCAATATTGTTTGATGGTTGTTCATTGTTTAGTATTGTTTGAAGGTTGTTCATTGTTTAGTATTGTTTTGGGGTTGTTCATTGTTTAACATTGTTTTCGGGTTGTTAATTGTTCAGTATTGTTTGATGGTTGTTCATTGTTTAGTATTGTTTGAAGATTGTTCATTGTTTAGTATTGTTTGATGGTTGTTCATTGTTTAATATTGTTTTGGGGTTGTTCATTGTTCAATATTGTTTTTGGTTTGTTAATTGTTTAATATTGTTTTGGGGTTGTTCATTGTTCAATATTGTTTTGGGGTTGTTCATTGTTTGGTATTGTTTTTGGGTTGTTCATTGTTTAGTATTGTTTTCGGGTTGTTTATTGTTTAGTATTGTTTGATGGTTGTTCATTGTTCAATATTGTTTGAGGGTTGTTCATTTTTCAATATTGTTTGATGGTTGTTCATTGTTTAGTATTGTTTGAAGGTTGTTCATTGTTTAGTATTGTTTTGGGGTTGTTCATTGTTTAACATTGTTTTCGGGTTGTTAATTGTTCAGTATTGTTTGATGGTTGTTCATTGTTTAGTATTGTTTGAAGATTGTTCATTGTTTAGTATTGTTTGATGGTTGTTCATTGTTTAATATTGTTTTGGGGTTGTTCATTGTTCAATATTGTTTTTGGTTTGTTAATTGTTTAATATTGTTTTGGGGTTGTTCATTGTTCAATATTGTTTTGGGGTTGTTCATTGTTTGGTATTGTTTTTGGGTTGTTCATTGTTTAGTATTGTTTTCGGGTTGTTTATTGTTTAGTATTGTTTGATGGTTGTTCATTGTTCAATATTGTTTGAGGGTTGTTCATTTTTCAATATTGTTTGATGGTTGTTCATTGTTTAGTATTGTTTGAAGGTTGTTCATTGTTTAGTATTGTTTTGGGGTTGTTCATTGTTTAACATTGTTTTCGGGTTGTTAATTGTTCAGTATTGTTTGATGGTTGTTCATTGTTTAGTATTGTTTGAAGATTGTTCATTGTTTAGTATTGTTTGATGGTTGTTCATTGTTTAATATTGTTTTGGGGTTGTTCATTGTTCAATATTGTTTTTGGTTTGTTAATTGTTTAATATTGTTTTGGGGTTGTTCATTGTTCAATATTGTTTTGGGGTTGTTCATTGTTTGGTATTGTTTTTGGGTTGTTCATTGTTTAGTATTGTTTTCGGGTTGNATTGAGGGTTGTTCATTGTTAAGTATTGTTTGATGGTTGTTCATTGTTTAGTATTGTTTGAAGGTTGTTCATTGTTTAGTATTGTTTGAGGGTTGTTCATTGTCTTGAGGTTTGTTCATTGTTTAGTATTGTTTTGGGGTTGTTCATTGTTCAATATTGTTTTGGGGTTGTTCATTGTTATCTAAAACTGCTGGACCAATTTTGACCAAACTATACATGGAACATCACTAGGACATGGGTATCTGAATTGATGAAATTTATGGGGCTACGCCCCCAGGGGCCTGAGCAGCGGGTCCAAATAGGTAAAAAAATGGAGTCATCTTTAAAAATCTTCTTCTCTACTCCTACAAGTAGTAGAAAGTAATGGTACATTTAATTATAAATTTATGGCCCTGTGGTCAAGGAGTCAAGAGGTAGGGCGGGGTCAATATTGTGTACTTGTTATGTAATTATGGATTTATTCATTGTATAATTAATTTTCTTCTTCAAAACCACTGGGCCAATTTCGACCGAATTTGATTTGGAACATCACTAGGACATGGGGATCTGACTTTAGGAATTTTATGGGGCTTCACCCCCAGGGGCCTGATGAGCAGGGCCAAATATGTAAAAAATGGGGTAATCTTTAAAAAAAATCTCCTCTACTCCTTCAAGTAGCAGAGAGTAATGGCACATTTAATTATAAACATCAACTAGCTCTCTTTTGAATTTATGAAAGTTATAACCCTGGGTCAAGGGGTCAAGTGATAGAGTGGGCAATATTGTATGTTATGGATCATTGTATCTTTGAAACAGTTGAGATCCCCAGCCCATAACGGTTAACCATAAAAAAATTGCTGGGCGTCAAGAGATAAACACAGTCATGATGTTCCCTGGGGGTTTTCCTCACTCCTAGGAACTTAGTTTCTGGGTTATATCTTTGAAACCGTTGAGATCCCTACCCGATAATCATATACAGCATTGCTGGGCATCAAGAGATAAACACAAGCATGATGTAAATATAGGCTTACAGGGTCTTTCCCCACCCCTAGGGAATAGGTTTCTGGGTTATATCTTTGAAACAGTCAAGATCCCCACCCCATAACCATATATACAATTGCTGAATATAAAGAGACGAATGCACATACCCGTCGAGGATTGCCTTGGGGTCTGACCCACCCTTGGAGACTTAACCCCTGGGTCATAACTTTTAAATGGTTATGATCCCCGACTCAAAACTATATATACAAATGCTGGGCATAAAGATACAAATGCAGTCATGATCTTAGAATTGACCCCAGGGTCTGCCCCACCCTTGCAGACTTAACCCCTGGGTCATAACTTTTAAATGGTTATGATCCTCAACCCAAAACTATATATTCAAATGCTGGGCATAAAAAAATGAACGCAGTCATGATATTAGAATTGACCCCAGGGTCTACCCCTACCTTGCAGACTTAACCCCTGGGTCCTAACTTTTAAATGGTTATGATCCCCTCCCCAAAACTTTATTCAAATGCTGGGCATAAAAAGACGAATGCAGTCATGATATTAGAATTGACCCCAGGGTCTACCCCTACCTTGCAGACTTAACCCCTCGGTCATAGCTTTAAAATGGTTATGATCCTCACCCCAAAACTATATATACAAATGCTGGGCATAAAGAGACGAATGCAGTCATGATATTAGAATTGATCCTCCGGTTCTGGCCACAACCCTAGGGACCTAGTTTCTGAGTCACAGCTTGGAAACAGTTGAGATTCCCACCCCATAACCATACATTAAATTGCTGGGCACGAAAAACCTAATACAGATATGCTACAAGCATTGGCCTTGGGGTCTGGCATATTCCCTTGCCCTTGGATCTCATTTGGAGAATATTTTGCCATTATTGCTTAGTTATCCAGGTGAGCGATACAGGTTCTCTGGCCCTCTTGATCAATATTGTTTTGGGGTTGTTCATTGTTTTGATTATTTAAGGGTTGTTCACTGTTATATATTGTTTTGGTGTTGCTCACTGTTTTGGGTGATTTTAGGGTGGTTCATTGTATTGTTTGATATCGCTTTAAGGGATGTTTCAGTGTTTTGCATTATTTGGGTAATATTTAATATTTTATATTGTTTTGGTTTAGAGTTTGTTGTGAAAATCAATTTTAATTTAAGTTCAAATATGGTATTACATTTTTAAAAATACAAAAATATTTTTAATACAAGAAATTTAAGATACTTACAGAAATCAGTATTGGAATAAGCTATAAGCTGGAAAAACTTTATTAGAATAACAAACTACTAATCTAGACTGGAGCAATCAGAGATACTATTAATAACCTAGATATACCAGTGGATCAATATACAGTAGTGTCAGTTATTTTAAGTTCCATAGTGGAGTACCGGATTATTATTTATGCATAACGAAAAGAAAAATGTTTTCAAAGGCTGTTGATTTTTTCTTATGCTAACCACAATCAATTCATGGTTGATTGATGCACAGCACACTGTAATAGGTGATCAACTCGAATCAAATGCAAATCATTGATGCAGAACTTTACTTTGAATGAGGCAATCATTTCAGGGCTTTATGATACAGGATTTATCATTTACATCAGGGAATGTTCTTATTGACAGTTTTACTGTGCCAGTAGGTGTGATGGGCGTGACGTTGGCTACAGTGTTCTGTGTACCTGGTTGTTAGGGCACAGACGACCTTGAGATTGATGAGCTTGACTTGTACACAATGGACATGTATGAACTGGTTACACATGTTATATTAGACATAAGCTATGTAACTACTTAAGGGACTATAGCACTGTGTATTGCTGATGTAGAAACCATTATTCTTGATCTTACTGACACTGTCCATTATCCCTGATCTTACTGACACTGTGTTGATATATGTGGATAGGTGAAAAGAACCTGCACAAAGGTAGGTAGTCGTAGGAAGCATGCTTTGCCTTGTCATTGTGATGTGTTGATTTATAAGGAAATGGCGATATTTATTTTGTTTTGTTTTGGAGTGATTTGCTTGATTAAGTGTTACACATGTTAAAAAGTCAAATAAGTAATTCTTCCCTTAACTGACCACTTTCTCTCTGACCTCCCCCTCCCTAACTAACCACTTTCTCACTGACCTCCCTCTCCCTAACTGACCAGTCTCTGACCTCCCCCTCCCTAAGTGACCACTCTCTGACCTCCCCCTCCCTAACCTTCCTCTCCCTAACTGACCAGTCTCTGACCTCCCCCTCCCTAACTGACCAATCTCTGACCTCCCCCTCCCTAACCTTCCTCTCCCTAACTGACCACTCTCTGACCTCCCCCTCCCTAACTGACCACTTTCTCTCTGACCTCCCCCTCCCTAACTGACCACTTTCTCACTGACTTACCCCTCCCTAACTGACCCCTCTCTGACCCCCCCTCCCCCTCCCTAACTGACCACTTTCTGTCTGACCTCCCCCTCCCTTAATTGCCCATTATTTCAGATCTGACTTTTCCATCCCTGTTGATCACATTTGACCACTTTGTGTCTGCTCTACGTATACCCTCCCATGGCAATCTGACGTACCCTCTCTTACTGACCACTTTGTGTCTGCTCTACCCTCCCAAGGCAATCTGACGTACCCTCTCTTACTGACCACTTTGTGTCTGCTCTACCCTCCCATGGCAATCTGACGTACCCTCTCTTACTGACCACTTTGTGTCTGCTCTACCCTCCCATGGCAATCTGACGTACCCTCTCTTACTGACCACTTTGTGTCTGCTCTACCCTCCCATGGCAATCTGACGTACCCTCTCTTACTGACCACTTTGTGTCTGCTCTACCCTCCCATGGCAATCTGACGTACCCTCTCTTACTGACCACTTTGTGTCTGCTCTACCCTCCCATGGCAATCTGACGTACCCTCTCTTACTGACCACTTTGTGTCTGCTCTACCCTCCCATGGCAATCTGACGTACCCTCTCTTACTGACCACTTTGTGTCTGCTCTACCCTCCCATGGCAATCTGACGTACCCTCTCTTACTGACCACTTTGTGTCTGCTCTACCCTCCCATGGCAATCTGACGTACCCTCTCTTACTGACCACTTTGTGTCTGCTCTACCCTCCCATGGCAATCTGACGTACCCTCTCTTACTGACCACTTTGTGTCTGCTCTACCCTCCCATGGCAATCTGACGTACCCTCTCTTACTGACCACTTTGTGTCTGCTCTACCCTCCCATGGCAATCTGACGTACCCTCTCTTACTGACCACTTTGTGTCTGCTCTACCCTCCCATGGCAATCTGACGTACCCTCTCTTACTGACCACTTTGTGTCTGCTCTACCCTCCCATGGCAATCTGACGTACCCTCTCTTACTGACCACTTTGTGTCTGCTCTACCCTCCCATGGCAATCTGACGTACCCTCTCTTACTGACCACTTTGTGTCTGCTCTACCCTCCCATGGCAATCTGACGTACCCTCTCTTACTGACCACTTTGTGTCTGCTCTACCCTCCCATGGCAATCTGACGTACCCTCTCTTACTGACCACTTTGTGTCTGCTCTACCCTCCCATGGCAATCTGACGTACCCTCTCTTACTGACCACTTTGTGTCTGCTCTACCCTCCCATGGCAATCTGACGTACCCTCTCTTACTGACCACTTTGTGTCTGCTCTACCCTCCCATGGCAATCTGACGTACCCTCTCTTACTGACCACTTTGTGTCTGCTCTACCCTCCCATGGCAATCTGACGTACCCTCTCTTACTGACCACTTTGTGTCTGCTCTACCCTCCCATGGCAATCTGACGTACCCTCTCTTACTGACCACTTTGTGTCTGCTCTACCCTCCCATGGCAATCTGACGTACCCTCTCTTACTGACCACTTTGTGTCTGCTCTACCCTCCCATGGCAATCTGACGTACCCTCTCTTACTGACCACTTTGTGTCTGCTCTACCCTCCCATGGCAATCTGACGTACCCTCTCTTACTGACCACTTTGTGTCTGCTCTACCCTCCCATGGCAATCTGACGTACCCTCTCTTACTGACCACTTTGTGTCTGCTCTACCCTCCCATGGCAATCTGACGTACCCTCTCTTACTGACCACTTTGTGTCTGCTCTACCCTCCCATGGCAATCTGACGTACCCTCTCTTACTGACCACTTTGTGTCTGCTCTACCCTCCCATGGCAATCTGACGTACCCTCTCTTACTGACCACTTTGTGTCTGCTCTACCCTCCCATGGCAATCTGACGTACCCTCTCTTACTGACCACTTTGTGTCTGCTCTACCCTCCCATGGCAATCTGACGTACCCTCTCTTACTGACCACTTTGTGTCTGCTCTACCCTCCCATGGCAATCTGACGTACCCTCTCTTACTGACCACTTTGTGTCTGCTCTACCCTCCCATGGCAATCTGACGTACCCTCTCTTACTGACCACTTTGTGTCTGCTCTACCCTCCCATGGCAATCTGACGTACCCTCTCTTACTGACCACTTTGTGTCTGCTCTACCCTCCCATGGCAATCTGACGTACCCTCTCTTACTGACCACTTTGTGTCTGCTCTACCCTCCCATGGCAATCTGACGTACCCTCTCTTACTGACCACTTTGTGTCTGCTCTACCCTCCCATGGCAATCTGACGTACCCTCTCTTACTGACCACTTTGTGTCTGCTCTACCCTCCCATGGCAATCTGACGTACCCTCTCTTACTGACCACTTTGTGTCTGCTCTACCCTCCCATGGCAATCTGACGTACCCTCTCTTACTGACCACTTTGTGTCTGCTCTACCCTCCCATGGCAATCTGACGTACCCTCTCTTACTGACCACTTTGTGTCTGCTCTACCCTCCCATGGCAATCTGACGTACCCTCTCTTACTGACCACTTTGTGTCTGCTCTACCCTCCCATGGCAATCTGACGTACCCTCTCTTACTGACCACTTTGTGTCTGCTCTACCCTCCCATGGCAATCTGACGTACCCTCTCTTACTGACCACTTNACCACTTCCTCTCTATCCTCCATCCCATTACTGATCACTCCCTCTCTATCCTCCCTCCCTTTACTGGCCACTCCCTGTCTATCCTCCATCCCATTACTGACCATTACCTCTCTATCCTCCCTCCCATTACTGACCATTCCTTTTCTATCCTCCATCCCATAACTGACCATTCCTTCTCTATCCTCCCTCCCATTACTGACCACTTCCTCATTCATCAGATCGTTTATGGACCTTTCACTCCATCTTGTGTGACATGCCTGACCACTTATTTCCTTACACACCCTGTCCTTCCTTGTTGACTGCCCTGTCCCACAATGTTTACACTATTACAGAGTTGGTTAGTTCAAGTGGAAATGATCCTTTTTGTTACTAAAGTTCAGTAAATAATATTTTGACACAACATATGAATATCTTGCTTTCTCACATCCTGCATTGTATGACCTACTGATGGACGGACAAACAGTGAAAGCTGGTTGGACAGACAGAAAGACAGACAATAGAAGTTGGGATGGTAGAGAAATAGACAATATAACCTGGCTGGACAGACCACAGATGAAGCTGGTGCAGTAGTCAGAAAGAAAGACAGACAGACAGACAGACAGACAGACAGAGGAAGCATGTGCAGTAGATAGACAGACAGACAGAGGATGCTTGAGGTCAGAGTCTGTCAGACAGTTAATAAAACTTAGTTGGGCAGACAGACAATAGAAGTGGGAATGCTGGAAAAACAAAGTCAGACAGGACAGACAGGACAGACAGACATGTCAAGACAAAAACAGCTTGAAAAGAACAGCACACAATAGGACAAAAGCAACAATTGGCTTAAAGCAGAGGAGATGTGATATAATACTCATCATATTTGTTCAGGGGCCCATTCATAACAGATACTAAAGTAAATACAAAAAAATTTGTTAGGAATATATTGATCTCCCCTTTCCAAGTCCTATGACCTATTGACCTCCCTTTCCGGGTGCTATGACCTACTATTGACCTTCCTACCTGTCTGTGTGCTGTCACTGGTGTAGGGAGTTTGATTTCACTATTGCCAGGAAAACAGTGCTTGTATATATATGCATGTGCTTGATTACTGCCAATGTAAACAAAATTGAACGGGCCCATGTTCATTGTGGGTACTTATTGCATGACATTTAAAATGCAGCATTAATTTTTCTGTACCTTGAAGTTTGTAATTATTCATAATAACATTATGATGCAATTCGAGGTACCAGAAATAAATAAATCTTTGACCACTGTTACCAGGTATACAAGTAATACATGTGCAAGTATATATGTAATATATGATACCTTGGATATAATGTGTTTGTTTACTGAAGTCATATGCACATATGTATAAAACTACTGTAGGAAAACTAGTTTACTTGAATGTATATAAATATAATTGTAATGTGTATTTCTAGTCCATTTGTCTGTTAAATGAGAAGTAAAAGTCACAGTCTGAGACATGTACAGAAGGTCACATGCTCTGACCTCTGGGACATGTACAGAAGGTCACATGCTCTGACCTCTGGGACATGTACATAAGGTCACATGCTCCGACCTCTGGGACATGTACAGAAGGTCACATGCTCTGATCTCTGGGACATGAACAGAAGGTCACATGCTCTGACCTCTGAGACATGTACAGAAGGTCACATGCTCTGACCTCTGGTGTAACATTCTTACCTTTATTTTGAATGTTAACAGTGTTCGTACCCTCCCCGCCAGTGGTAGAAGAAGATGGCCTGTTCTTGGATAGTGATGATGGTTTGTCCAAACCTCGTGTGTGTATAAACTATCTTGGTAATGAAGAAATGAAGGATTCTGGAAAGCCAGACTCACCAGAAATTTCTGAGTCCAAGTCCGACTGGAAAATGCCTCCACGGGCCAAACCATTTACCCCCTCCCCAGTAGGAGGGGCAGCAGGCTACAGTTACCAAGACTCTGGACGTCCATCCTCAGGGGGCAGTGACAGACCAGGGTCAGGGGGCAATAGGGAGGAGTCAAACATCCCGGACTGGCTACAGGCAGTAAGTGTCAGGAACTGTAAGGTACAGAGGAAAGGTGGGCGGAGTCCATCAGATGGGATGTTGTTGATGTCTAGTGTTTAGGTTCTCAGAAATATAAATGCTGTCACTAACAAATTTACTTATTCATTAATATATCATCTGTCCATACACCCGAGTCCATCAAACTGACATCAATGTATTTCTTGAAAACATCTTTTTCTAATGAACCATAATGCTCGGGGTCATCATATTTGACCTAAAGCTTGCTGGTATAAAAAGAGCCATCAAATGTGTTCAAATATTACTGAATTACAACCCTCAAGGTCGAAAGTCAAATGTGTTCAAATATTACTGAATTACAACCCTCAAGGTCGTAAGTCAAATGTGTTCAGATATTACTGAACTACAACCCTCAAGGTCGAAAGTCAAATGTGTTCAAATATTCAATTATCTTCTTCTGATGAACCACAAGATGGCTAGAGAACTGATATTTGGCCTGTAGCTTGCTTGAGGGAACTTTTTTCCCATTCAAATAAATTATCTTTATTAATGGTTACAGAGGTTAAATGTGTTAAAGTCTCTAAATAGGTTCTTTTTATGAACCAAAATCCTTGGAGTACTGATATTTTCCAAGTATTTGCCGGGAGAAAGGGGTATCCAGAATGTTCAAACAAATGATCTTGACTGACATTCAAGGTTACGGAGATCAAATGTGTTAAAATCTTAGAACCACTTCGATTCTTCAATAGAACAATGAGGCTTAGAGTCATGATATTTGGTCTGTAGCATGCTGACATGAAGGGCTACCAAATATGTTTAGATATAAGCCTTTTATTCTCATAGAAGGACATGAATGTCAAATGTATTCAAAATATATTCAAACATCTTTTCAAAAGTGTAAGGCCTAGAATAAGGAACTTCTCAGAAAAACTGTAAGGTCTAGACTATGGATTGCTAAGCTGTAGTTTGTAGGGGTAAATTGCTATCAACTTCATTAAAAATAAATTACTTTGGAGACCACAGCAATCATTTGAGTCAAGAACAACACTCTGCCATCAAATTAACAAAAGACCTGATATTTCACAAACAGAGCCAATGACAAAGTATGATTAATGTATAAAACATGAACTAACAAATGTAAAATCTGTTTGCTGTAGGAGCTTCAGGATGCTGACTTTATACCGTTCCCCCCTGATGTCCTGCCTGTGTCCCCTCCCATACAGCATCCCGGGCAACCAGGGGGACCATCAATCTATGCAGATATGGAGGAAATGAAGGAAGCAGAGAACTCCATGGTAAGAGAAACCCAGTCAGGGACATGAAAATCAAAGATGGCCTCTCCTAGGGTCTGATTGGCTGAGACATTTTTTACTGCTTCTCAAGATTGGCAGCAGCAATTGGCTTTAAACTTGTTACAAATGTTCCTTATAATGTCCTTAATCAGTGTTCTTATTAATTCATGCCGATCCAAAAATCCAAGATTGTTGCCCTAGTGTCTGATTGGCTGAGAAATTTCATTTGCTTTTCAAGAACAGCTGCACTGATTAATTCCAAATTTAGTACAAATATTTCTTAAGAGTTCCCCAACAAGTGGTCTTACTTTTCATGCTGATCCAAACATCCAATGATGGCCACTGTGGCCTCTGATTGGCTGAGACATTTTTTATTTGAACTCATGTGAGCACTAAGGCCTCTTGACCCTTTTGTTATCCCATTTAGTTAACACCACTTTACACTTTGATATTTTACAGAAAGAGCAAAAGCTAATAAAATCGAAAAACACGGAAATATTGGAGAAGGATGAACTGATAGCGTTACTAAAACAGAAGTTGACCGATGTGGAGTTAGAGAATACTGAAGTAAGTATCATATGGTGATTCTCCACAAATACAATGACCTCTGTATGACTGAACTATACTTACTGATGAAATACAAGTTGATCTTTATTGAGCATGTAAAGGGATACAGACAATCTTAACACCAAATACTATTGTATCCCCAAACAATAACAATTCAACTGCCTGCAGTGATAGCTTGTTCACATTAAACACTTTGTCATTGTCACAGGAGTTACTGCCCCTTACAGCATTTATAAAACAGCTAAATCTGGTGTATATAAATACTAATAGTCTCAATTTCGTTGATGAGTCAGTTTGAGATTGTACACATTGCTCTTTCATCACACAAATAAGTCCCTGTTCTATATACCCTGAGAAGGAAACATTGATACTGGTCAATGACATGGACTTATGTGATGTTAAATCGTATAGTCAGGATATTTATAGTGTATGTGCTTAAGTCACTTCCCTATTTTTATTTCTGGTAAATAGTACTAGTAGTTTATACTTTGTCATCAATTTCTTGCGATTAATTTGTCGTGCATGCAAATGAAATGTTATCAAAATGGCTATTTCTCGTATACAGATTGGCATTGCTTGTGAATGAATTGGTACACATATTTTAATGTGAACAAAGTGCCTGTGTATGTGAAAGGGATGATATATGTATCTCCAGGTCTCTGTGCAGGCTACAGATCTCATTACTGTCCTCAATATGTAGATTTAAATGTGCATTGTAGTACTTTACACAGGTATATGTATGCTATATCTAAACTTAGTTGTACAATCAACTATATCTTCATCAATCAATATAGACTTGTATAATTTCTGTATGCCTTTTGTTGACAGCAAAGGATTAATATTTTAGAAAACAGACATCACTATCAGATTATATTTTTTTAATTTCAAAAGCTAAAGGAACAGCTAAAATCTCAGGAGAAAAGGATGAAAAGTTTGGAGACACAGGTGGGTGCGGCCAGGATTGACCATTGATTAACAGTATTGTGTTATAGAGATTACTGACCATCATCATTAGTATCATAATGGCTTTACTGACCGCTTAGTTATATGCAGTGGTTGTGGATTGAGAAAGTATAGATACACTACTTGTATATATCTACAATTCGTGACAATCTCAGAACTTGTTATCCTATGCAAATTGAAACCTTATTGAACATGTGTTATATAGTGTCTATAATGAGTTTTGACACAAAAACTGGTTATCTCAATCAGAATTTAATATCAACTTTTCATTTAGAGATATTTCAATTATTTTGATATTCATAACATAAAAATGTTTAGGAATTTAAATTTTTCCTTTGAGAACACTTGTATACTGTAGAAAATCTAAGATAAGAAATAATTATAAACGAAGTGATGTACTAATCAACTTGTCCTAGACTCCAGGATGTTAAATCAGGATTGTATCCCCAAAGGATCAGCCATCACTGTACGTTGTTACATAACTATAGCCAGAAACACGGTTGTATGCTGTTAGCTGAGGTTGTGTTGGGCTGGTCTCATACCATTGTATTTATGTACAACTACATACTGTACATTAAAGTTACTGCTGACATACAGGCCAAGATACCACCAAATACACTCCTACATCAAAACCATCACAGTACCTGTGGATTATCTCATATAGATAGAAATATTTTCACTGATTGTCTATAAATCTTGTATAATCAATGCCACCCCTTCATTTTAGCAATAACGTTATTTTGAGATTTAATTATCATTGCCTGAACTAAGACTTGTTGCTCAATATATCACAACCAAGTCTAGACAAGAGTACTGATATGTGACCTCTGGTTATGGCCCTTTGTGAGAACTCTTTTAACGCTGATTATAACCTGTAGGATAACATTGAGGTCCTTGACCACAATTGCCTTCAGGATAAGTTTTTTGAATTCTGTTTAATTGATCTGCATTATGAGCTTATTTTGAAGTCCATTAAATTGACAATCAGAATGAGCTCTTTGAATTAAATGAAGTTGACCTTAAGGATGAGCTTTTTGAATTCTCTTAAATTGACCTTCACAAATGCAATGAGTTCTGTAAATTCTGTTTTTGAAGTTTGATGAGGTCTCAATGGAAAGTTCTGGTCCTGGCGTACAAGATGAGTTCTTTGGTGTTTTGTATGATCTGAGAGTATGCTCTTTGATCTCTGCTGATGGCCTAAAAGCGAGGTGTCTGCTCATGATATAACAGTGAGCTATGTGATCTACAATCCGGATGGTAGGTCAGGATGAGATCTTTGATAAATAATCATGACCTAACGGGACCTCTTAGTGATTGATCATGAAGTGTGAGCTGTTTGATAATTGAGTAAGAGCACACTTTTTGATGATTGATCGCGATCAAAGAATGAGCTGTTTGATAATTGACCATGAAGTAAAGGTGAGCTCTTTGATAAATGATCATGACCTAAAGTGAGCTCTTTAATAATTGAACATGACATAGAGAGAGCTCTTTGATAAATGATCATGACATAGAGTGAACTCTTTGATAAATGATCATGACCTAGATTGAGCTCTTTGATAAATGATCATAAACTAAGAGTGAGCTCTTTGATAAATGATCATAAACTAAGAGTGAGCTCTTTGATAAATGGTCATGACCTAGAGTGAGCTCTTTGATAAACGAACTTGACCTAGAGTGAGCTCTTTGATAAATGATCATGACCTAAAGTGAACTCTTTAATAATTGAACATGACCGAGAGAGAGCTCTTTAATAAATGATCATGACATCGAGTGAACTCTTTGATAAATGATCATGACCTAGAGTAAGCTCTTTGATAAATGATCATGACCTAGAGTGAGCTCTTTGATAAATGATCATAAACTAAGAGTGAGCTCTTTGATAATTGAATATGACTTAAAGGTGAGCTGTTTGATAACTGACCATGAAGTAAAGGTGAGCTCTTTGATAAATGATGGTGACGAAAGAGTGAGCTCTTTGATAAATGATTGTGACCAAAGAGTGAGCTCTTTGATAATTTATTATGACCTAGAGTGAGCTCTTTGATAAATGATTTTGACCAAAGAGTGTCAACTCTTTGATAATTGACTATGACGTAAAGGTGAGCTCTTTGACAAATGATGGTGACCTAAGAGTGAGCTCTTTGATAAATGATTGTGACCAAAGAGTGAGCTCTTTGATAAATGATCATGACCTAAGAGTGAGCTCTTTGATAAATGATCATGACCTAGAGTGAGCTCTTTAATAAATGATCATGACCTAAGAGTGAGCTCTTTGTAAATTATCAAGGCCTAAGAGTGAGCTCATTGATGTTTACGAGGGCCTGAATTAAGAGCTACTATCATGATGTACGGGTGAGCTAAGAAGTATATATAACTGCAATGTACAATTGGCAGCTGTTCTGCCCTCCTGTTTTAATAAGATCTCATGTTTTAATATGTAGGTATTTGTGATTTGTGTTTTTTGTCAATAATTGTTGTTTTCTGCTCACACCACCATCCAAAGCATTTTGAAGTTAAAATTTTGTATCATGAAAAATGTTTTGTATAACTTGTTATTTACATATCAGTAAGATTACTTTTCTGTGATGCTGAATTCCTCTATCTTTTTACACATTTTATTTATATTTTATATTTATTTCAAGTCATAACAGTTGTTTGTTAGATATTCATTTAATACATATTTTTATGTGCAAAGTTGGCCTTAGCTTGATTACCTGTTTGTCAAAACCTCCATGGATTGATATGGAGTTGACTATACAGGTGATGTCTGTCTGTGATATTTATATTGAGGCTTTCTGCTGTTCCTTGTGTAGTACATGTTTTACCTGTTAGTGTGTGTACAAACGTTTGTCTATTTTACATTTGAAAATAGATTTGTTAAATAAGACGGTGTTTCTTGTTTTCTGTAGATATGATTCTGTGACCTTGTCTAAACCAAACATGACAGGGACCGATGTCCATATTTGGATCTTACAGGGTTTTTGAATACATCAGGACACATACAAAGTGCCTTATTGAAGGGCTAGCAGGTTTCCTGATTACAAAGAGTTCGGCGTAGATAGGTCACATTGTCTCACAGTCAAGCTTAACAGTAGATGTCTATTTTCTGTGTCTCATTAAAAAATGGCCACATCATCTGGTTTTATCACACATTTCAAAATAAAGGCAGCCATATTGTGTGACGCATAAAGCTTACTGTTCCCATGGTAACCAGATACAGTAGATAGAACAGTACAGGTGTGTATATGTTTGTACGCAGCTACCTGTAGGTTTGCCTTTCCGGTAAGCATCTGCTAATCTGTAACTCTAACAAGCTGTTTGATGTTATATGGTACCAGTATTCTAATATAACAAAACATGAGAAACATATATTAATCTTGTACAAAAACACTTGTACAGTAAGACAATATTTATCTCCTTGTTAAGAGAATTTAGCGATTGTATAAAATGTAACAATAATATACAGGAAGTAACAATTAACAATGTGTGGACCACAGGGGCTCGGTTTCGGAATTTGGAGTAATATATGACGTAAATTGTAATAATTTCGGTCAATAATACACGTATACACTTCAGAAAATAATAGCAACACTTTTTATGTGGTGTTAGAAACATTCTAAAACCTTATAAAATAGAGGGTACCGAGGTACCCTTACAATTTACGTCATATATTATTCAAAACTCGTACCGAGCCCCTGTGGTGTGAGCTTGTGAAAAGGAACGTAATTATAAAACAGTAGAATGCTCTAACTGCTATCTCAATACATGACAATCAGTGGGAAAGGAGACCTAATAAAACAACTTAATCCCCTTCATTTGAATTTTGTTTTATTTATAAAGCATCAGTGTTAATACGATTTGTAATTTTGTGTGCGCTAACCGTTTGGTGTCGTAATCCTAGGAGTTGTCTTTCTTCACCCTTAACACGAGAGCGTTTACTACGAAGTCCTAGTAAGAAACAAACGGCAGCCATAACTTGTGTTCTCAAAATTGTGCTTTAGTTTGGAACAACTCGAGACACAATCCAAAAGATCCAGCAGATAGTTTAGATCCACACACATATATACGGTCAGGCGACATACTGGTGGTATGGAGGACGTTAAATAAAGACTGAGACCAGGCGACATACTGGTACGGAGGACGTTAAATAAAGGTCAGACGACATACTGGTGGTATGGAGGACGTTAAATAAATGTCAGACGACATGCTGGTACGGAGGACGTTAAATAAAGGTCAGACGACATTCTGGTGGTATGGAGGACGTTAAATAAAGGTCAGACGACATGCTGGTACGGAGGACGTTAAATAAAGGTCAGACGAAATACTGGTGGTATGGAGGACGTTAAATAAAGACTGAGACCAGGCGACATACTGGTACGGAGGACGTTAAATAAAGGTCAGACGAAATACTGGTGGTATGGAGGACGTTAAATAAAGGTCAGGCGAAATACTGGTGGTATGGAGGACGTTAAATAAAGACTGAGACCAGGCGACATACTGGTACGGAGGATGTTATATAAAGGTTAGACGACATACTGATACGGAGGACGTTATATAAAGATCAGACGACATACTGATACTGAGGACGTTATGTAAAGATCAGACGACATACTGATACTGAGGACGTTATATAAAGATCAGACGACATACTGGTACGGAGGACGCTATATAAAGGTCAGACGACATACTGGTACGGAGGACGTTAAATAAAGGTCAGACGACATTCTGGTGGTATGGAGGACGTTAAATAAAGGTCAGACGACATGCTGGTACGGAGGACGTTAAATAAAGATCAGACGACATACTGTTACGGAGGACGTTAAATAAAGATCAGACGACATACTGGTGGTATGGAGGACGTTAAATAAAGGTCAGACGACATACTGGTACGGAGGACGTAAAATAAAGACTAAAGACCAGGCGACATACTGGTACGGAGGACGTTATATAAAGGTTAGACGACATACTGATACGGAGGACGTTATATAAAGATCAGACGACATACTGATACTGAGGACGTTATATAAAGATCAGACGACATACTGATACTGAGGACGTTATATAAAGATCAGAAGACATACTGA